TTCGAGCCTATACAGCTTGGAGTAAGACAACATGCATGAAGAGGATGATGTGGACAAAATACTCATTTGCCTAATAATTCTGCACTCCCTGTACTTAAAAAGACTAAAACTAACAGTGAAACTAATGAAAAATACTTTTAAAATAAACATTTTCAAACAACAATCCACAAATTCAAATCAAAATTACAATAAAAACTGATTACAAAATACAAACCTATAAAAACTCAGTGAATGCCTTTATTGAACTTTTTCTAATTTTGTGAAACATTATGAGGCAGCACACTGACACACCCATATACATATTTCTGTATTGCTTAATCATCCAGTATCTACAAAACAATTAGACTGCTTTATAATTTTTGAGTTTGATAAGATCCAAAGATTCAAACAGGAAGTGGCATTATGGGGCGATCGTAGCTCAAGAGTTGGGCGTTTGTCTTGTGATCGGAAGGTTGCCAGTTCGAGCCCCAGCTCCAACAGTCATTGTGTCCTTCGGCAAGACACTTCACCCGTTGCCTACTGATGGTGGTCAGAGGGCCCGGTGGCGCCAGTTTCCGGCAGCCTCGCCTCTGTCAGTGCGCCCCAGGGCAGCTGTGGCTACACTGTAGCTTGCCATCACCTGTGTATGAATGTATGTGTGTGTGAATGGGTGGATGATTGTGTATAGTGTAAAGCGCTTTGGGGTCCTTAGGACCAAGTAAAGCACTATACAAATACAGACCATTTACCATTACTGTGCAAGAGTCTTGAGCCCCGGTGAAAGACTTTTTGGCAGGTTAGAAAACTACAAATACCATTCACTGTACAGTCATCCTTTAAATTAATAATAACAGAGACATTAAAAGAGAGAGGCGTAGAAGAAGTGTAATTTCTGAATCAAACTGCAAATGTTGGGTGATTTTATCAGATTTGGCTGGTGATTCTGTACATGATTTTTTTTTAACTTCCTATTTACCACAAAAATTAAAGAGAAGGCTCTGATTGTTCTGTAAAAATAGTTTCTCTGTTAGCACATCGTAATAATTGTGTTATACTTCATTTATTTCACTCTAAAGGCATCTATTGAACATTAAGTGTTCCATTTGTAATGTGATTTTGGAGTTTCAGTGAGATGCACTGTATGTTTAGCTTTGATTTAAAGCCTAAGTCACTGTGTCACTCTAACTCTCAATTCTTAAAACCCAGTGCAATTCCATGGGAAAGTGTAATGGGGCAGCATTACACCAAAAGCTGTGTTTAACAATATCTTAATATGTATTTTTTCTTAATCTGAGAGTTTACATGCTGCTGATGCTTCTGGTGCCTTTTTATGTTATCAAAATACTTTGCCAGCGCTGATTTTCTCCTCCGTTGTTGTTACACCTAAAGAGATTCTACAGATTAGCAAGTATAAAAAATATTTAAAGATCAAATGTATGTGCTTTGTTTCCCTGTCAATCATAAATCTTTTTTGATCGGTTTAATATGAGGCTAAGCTCTTCTACAAATACTCATTATAATGATGTTTATTTTTATTTATGTTTTTGTATATATATAACACCCGACCTACTATTTACTATGAAGGCCTAAAAGTGCCTAAAAAATTGTAAAAACTGCAACATATCTAAGATGATAATAATAATAATAATAATAATAATAATAATAATAATAATAATAATAATAATAATAATAATGATATTAATAGGCCTACTACTAATAATAATGTTAGCATTTATGAGTCTGTAAAGTGTGTTGTGATGAATTTTCTTTTTTCTAATTGTCTTTTCTTAATTATTTCATTTTTCATGTTGTTCATTTGTCCATTGTTTCTTTATTGTTCATGTACTTTGCCTTTTAATTTCATTAATTTTTCTTTTTCTTTTCAATTTAATTAATGTATTGTATGCATGTATGTGGATTTAATTTTATTTATTTATTGCATTAATGGCCATGTTATTTTTCATTTTGCACTGCATATATAGTTAGCTAAATTTATGGAGCAGTCCATTATTTTCTCTACAAAACTCAGTGGTGAGAAGTAAATGAAATTTGCAACATGTGAGGTTTGGATGAAAAAGCACATTTTCCTTTTTTGTCCTTTATTCATTCATTCATTCATTCATGCTTTACGGAATTTGTAAGATTTATGAGACCAGCGTTTGATTTGATTTGGTTTGCACTCCTTTCCCCCTAAAAATTAAGATTTTTGTTGTTCGTTCTTTAACCTGTTGAGGCCAATATAACGTACGGACACTGACTCGGCGAGGACGAAGAAGAAAGCCCTACATTTCCGGTTGTGTAGTAGCCAATCAGGAGTCACATCCTGGAGCAACGCACTGTAACTGTAGTGTGTGGCTCGGAACCGGACGGCTAGTCGGCTAACCCACCGACAGAAGGCTAAAAACAAAACACCGTATATTTGTTAGGTTGCCCTGTTTGTTCGCTCTGAACACCACCCGGGTAACC